GGGACTACGAAGTCTCATTCGCTTTCATCGAAGACAAAAACCAACTCAGATTCTTCAGTCTACTTCTCCGGCGCCGACACAAACCTCATCTTCGTCCCGACAACTGTGGAAGTACGATGTGTTCCTCAGTTTCAGAGGAACAGATGTTCGTAAAGGATTCCTCAGCCATCTCTACAAAGCTCTCACTTCCAACGGAATCCATACTTTCCGTGACGATACAGAGCTTCAAAGAGGAGATTTCATCAACCATGCGCTCTTGGAAGCAATCGAAAACTCGAGATTCGCCGTCGTTGTGCTCTCGGAGAATTACGCAACTTCTCGATGGTGTTTACAAGAGCTTGTGCATATTACCAAGTGCGTAGAGAAGAAACAAATCGAATTGATCCCTGTTTTCTTCGGTGTTGATCCTTCACATGTGAAGAAACAGTCTGGTAATTTCGCTAAGGCATTTGCTGAACATGAAAAGAGACCTGATATTGAGACTGTGGAGTCATGGAGAAAAGCGATGGCTAAAGTTGGATTGATCTCTGGTTGGGATTCCAGAAACTGGTAAGCAAATTCGTAGCCTTAAACGTGGTATTATCAACTGTTATTCTCGCCGGTACACTGGGAAAGATTATGTATCTTATAATTTGAGAATTGTTAGGTATGTTTTTGATGCAGGAACGAGGAGTCGAAGCTTATCGAGGAGCTTGTTCAAGATCTTTCAGAAAGATTATTCTCGCCGGTTTCTTCGAGTGATGCTGGTGGACTGGTCGGAATGAGTACACACATGAGAAGTATATATCCTTTGATGAGCAAAGAAGATCTTGACGATGTCCGAATGATCGGAATTTGGGGAATGGGAGGTATAGGTAAAACCACCATTGCAAAATATGTCTACAAAAGCTTCATGAGCGAGTTTGATGGTTCTTGCTTACTAGAGAATGTGAAAAGAGAGTTTAAACGGAACGGTCCATCGAATTTACGCGAGAAGATCTTGTCGGAAATCTTTCGCAGGAAAGACATGAACACATGGAACAGAGATTCCGATGTGATGAAGGACCGATTACGCGGTAAAAAGATTCTTCTTGTCCTCGATGATGTTGACGACATACAACAGCTAGAAGAATTGGCTGGAAAACCAGAGTGGTTTGGACCAGGAAGTAGAATTGTTATAACCACTCGAGACAGGCGTGTGCTTGACCTGCACGATGTCGATAAAGAACATATCTACGAAGTTGAGCCTCTGAGGACTACTCAAGCACTTCAGCTCTTTAGTAAGCATGCTTTTAAGCAGCCTCGACCACTTGAAGAGTATAGAGAGCTCTCGATCGCTATTGTGGAGCAGCTTGGAGGTCTTCCATTAGCTATTCAAGTCATTGGTGGATCTCTATATCGCCGAGAACCGGAATATTGGGAAGACAAACTGGATTTACTGAGAAATAATAGTGATGATTCTCTGTTTAAGGCGTTAAGAGTAAGTTATGAGGCATTGAGTGATCTAGAAAAGAAGATCTTTCTTTACATTGCGCTTTGTTTCAACGGAGTAAATATGGACAGAGTTAGAAAAGTACTAGACCTGTTTTTCGTGTGTTCCAGGCGTAGACCGTTACGCACCAGACCGAGCATTGAAGCTTTGATGGAGAAGTGTATGATTAGCCTGTCAAAAACAAAACGGTTATGGGTTCATGACTTGCTTCAGGACATGGCCGAGGATATTATATGTAAAGGAAACGATGAGAAGCCATGGAAACGTTTAATGTTGTGGGATTTCGAGGATATTGATCACGTATTCTCCACCAATATGGTAAGCTAAGAATCTTTATTAACCTCAGTCTTATCTCTCATTCTTGCATTTTGACATTTGAATGCGACTTTTTCATCTCTAGGGAGACGAAGCAATTGAAGTGGAAAGCATATTTCTCGACATGTCGAAAACAAATGAGCTTAGCTTATCCCCTCGAATCTTTGAGAAGATGCCAAATCTCAAACTGCTTAACTTTTATACCAATTCTAGCAATGGAGAGAGCAGGACAAGGATGTTAGATGGTCTTGATTACCTCCCGAAACTGCGATATCTTCGTTGGGATGCTTATAATCTGAAAACGTTACCATCTCGGTTTTGTACTAGCTTTCTATTTGAACTCAACCTCTCTCACAGCTCAATAGAAACCGTTTGGAAGGGAACTCAGGTACCATTTTCAATGCAGTATACTCTCATGTGAATGAATATTTGCTAATAGCTTTCTTCTTCTCTAATGCAGCAAGACCTTTCGAATTTACGGAGCCTAAACCTCACAAGCTGCAAGCATCTTACCCAGTTTCCAGATCTTTCGAAGGCGACTAATCTCGAGTCTCTGAAACTCTCCTATTGTGATAACTTGGTGGAGATCCCTGACTCTTCTCTTAGACAACTCAACAAACTCGTCCACTTAAAACTAAGCAACTGCAAGAAACTAAAGAGCCTCCCAAACAACATCAACTTAAAGTCCCTCAGGTTTCTCCATCTAGACGGATGCTATAGCCTAGAAGAGTTTCCATTTATCTCAGAAACCATCGAGAAGTTGCTATTGAACGAAACAACTATCAAACAAGTACCAGAATCAATCGAAAGACTCACTCGTCTCAAAGAGCTACGCCTCTCTGGTTGCAAGAAACTCATGAATCTCCCAGACAACATCAAGAACCTCAAGTCTTTGACCGATCTCGGACTCGCAAACTGTCCGAACGTAACATCATTCCCAGAAGTCGGAACAAACATACAATGGTTGAATCTGAACAGAACAGGTATAGAAACAGTGCCTTCAAAAGTAGGAGAAAACTCAAAGCTTCGTTACCTCAACATGTCTGGCTGCGACAAGCTTATGAACTTTCCTCCAACGGTAAGGGAACTGACACAGCTTAAGTATCTGTATCTTCGTGGTTGCAACAATGTCACTGAGTCTCCTGAGCTCAATGCCACCATCACAATGAAAGCACTGGACTTACATGGAACATCAATAACAACTGAGTCGAAGAACGAAGAAGAGCCTCCTCCTCAGTGTGAAGTACCAGTCATTAGACGGTTCTTTATGAAGAATGTTCGAGAATACATCAAGAAACGTAAATCCAACACAAGATAAGTATCAAAGGACACGTGAGCAACAAAGATGGGTCAAGACTTGCCACGTGTAGCTTCTTCTTGGCCAGGTGGTGAATTTTCAAGAACATGGCTTGAGTGTGTATAAATATGTTTTGGTGAGGACAAAGAGGGAAAGATGTAAGGTCGGTAACAATGTCGGGAGCACAAGGAGCAGAGCCGATGGGATCAAGAACAGCGACGACTTACGAGTCGGTGGAAGGAGGACAGAACAAGACGAAGCTTGATGTAAGGTCAAAGGAAGACGAAGGTGGGATTGAAGTTGATAAGCTTCAAGACAAGGTCTCTGATGCTGCTGGTTTGGGTGGACCTGTGTTTGGTGCTGCTAAAGAAGACAAGAAGCAGGATCTTGGTGTTACTGGCACCGGCTAGATCCTCTGTTTTATATATATATATACACTGTAAAACATGTGCTTTTAAGGGTTCTTTTGTAGTCTTGTAATAATGTGTTAAAAGAGGTCTTGTTTGTTTAAGAAATAAAGAAACAATTAATAATGTAAAAAAAACGATTAAACGACCACGGTGGGACTCGAACCCACAATCTCCCGCTCCGGAGGCGAGCGCCTTATCCATTAGGCCACGCGGTCAGTTGCTGTTGTTCTGTTATTGTAAAATATATATACTTGT